CCCGAGTATATATCAGTAAAATACGTGCCTATTGACAATTGACTTCAAACGTTCGAACAAACTCCCGGCACATACTTTACGAATATATCAAATCGTTTCATGGGCATATTTACTAAATGATAAATGAAACTTAGAAATATTGACGTGGCAGTGGTGACGAAAAGGATCCCCGAGGAAGTAGATTATAGGAACGTAATCCGGGGAAGAAGTATCACGTGATCGTAATTGTCCGTTGCTATGCGAGCGAAACTCATGTAAAATGTCACTCTCCCTTGCAGAGTCTTTTTTACCTAGGGAGCTACAGAGAGCCGCAACTAGATTCTGCAACTAGATTCTCCCTGTTTTTTTAATTCATTTGTTTCTGTTGAAAAAAATGTGTGTTATTTAAAATAAATTACGGTGGCCCATATATACAATTATACACATGATTATACACAATTATACAATATATACATGAAAATTGCTCGGCTACTTGAAAACAGCTCCGCTACATGAAAATCAAGCCCTTACATGAAAATCGCCCCGCTACTTGAAAATTGCGCCGCTATATGAAAATTGCTCCTCTATCTAGAAAATCGCGTGTATGTTGCGAGGTAACCTTCGACCTGCAGGTATGACCCGGAAGTACAACATGCAAGGTATACCATTGCTTGTGTATGCTTACGAAGTCGGGTAAACGTATTCATCTGTTTGTTAAATAAAATGAAGTCAACCAACCTGTATACTTGAAACATCATATTTGCATGTGTTGAATGTATTGGCATGCTGACTCTCTAAGGCTTTGAATGTAAACAGGTTACAAGTCAGTGCGCCATTCTAACCCTATACAACCACAAATTGTTACGACTCGTTACCGAAATCTACTGTATCGTGTATCACTACAAATCAGTTTCATGGCTTTACTACTACTAAGTTTAGCTTTTATTGACCTATAACACGAGCGTCGTCGTGCTGTCAACATATATCAGAGGGTGGGTGAGGGGGATACCTGATACAGGTTACAAAAAATTAAAAAGGCATTTTACGTTTTTACAAGAAATAAATGAAAATTCCATGTATAGTAAAAATGGGTTTTTACACTTTACACAGATAAAACAAATTCATTATCACATTTTACAGTTATTTTAATATATTTGATTTAAGAGCCAAAGAATATCACACATAGAATGACCTCCGGTGAATGCGTTCTGCAGTGACAAATCTCATGGGTTTGTGTGACGCATATGCGCGAATCAGGCCAGGAATTAATGTCGAACGTTAACGTGCGATATTATTTCCGGTGTGATATACTTTCCGTGTTCTACTAAGAACAATGCTTGACGAGGACACTTGCACACCGTATTAAATAAATAAAGTGTAGATAACATTGCGTACATGTCATTGTAAAAGTCAGAATATTTAGAACATCGTGTTAACTTCGAACGTCACGCTAAATCGCTCGTTGTTTTAGCAAGTTAGCATACAAATATATAAATGTATAAAATAATGATCATGATATGATTATGATATAATCTGTACAGCTAAAGAGGTAAGAAATGGATCTTTTAACAAGTTATTAAAATAATATTATAGTGACAAATAAAAATCTGATGCCAGACAAAACATCAGAAATATAATATACGAGGCGAAACAATGATCATCATTGTCTGTTGTAAGGATTAGCAATTGTTTAATTTCATTATGTTATTGACGAAATAACCATAATAATACAAGTTTTGTATTTGCGACTTGAATACTAATAATTTTTAGCTCCGCTGCCATCGAGGATGACACAGCAACGGAGCTGGTCTTATTACTGACTAACTGTCGTTCGTCCGGCAACAATTGCATTCGCATATTCGTCTTCAAAACCAGTAGCCTGAGTATTTTGATGTTCAATATACTACTAACTTGAATGGGTCTCTCTCAGATTTTGTGTCAATATTGTATTTTTTAATATTTTGGGTTATTTATGTCAAAACTGCTATTTCAGACGATTTCTTGAAAACTAGCAGCTCAAATCTCTTTTGATACATGTTATGTAAGTATCTTGGGTTAATCTCTATTAGATATGTTCTTTTTGTGACGATATCAACTATTCTCAATTCTTAGCAATTATTTTTTCATGTTTGGAAAAATAAAATTATACGTGGGCATGCTTGACATGTATGTGGAATCATCAATAGAAGGAAACTAGAAGAGAAAACTTTTTAACATTTTATTTTAGTAAAACAATAGAATAGATGAATTACAAAAACAATGCGACACACATTATGTACAACGCCAGGCAAAATAATATTAATCATTTATAATCCTTAAGTAAATAACACATCTGGTGTTTGCACAAGCAGAGGTGCTCGCTAGTTTGTTGTATTTTGTTTATAAATGTACTATTTATATTTACTGATAGTTTCTGCAATTGTACCTTTAATATCAGTATTTCAGAAAATGTATTGACTTCCAACAACAGATAATTTCAATAAGATACTAGTAATTATTGTAATATGTATGAAATATATGGTGGGTGGGTGTCGGCCACAATTCGCCATCCCGGAAATAGTTTCGAACACAGTCTTTGCTGTTATATACATTTATTTATATAGAACTGCAAGGATTCAATCAACAAGATATAAAACATGTGTGTGGCCGAAACTACCTACATTCGAAATATACGTAACAACTTAGCCATCTGCCGTCGATGCATCAACAGCAGCACGTTTATTTCCATTGAACAATGCACATTATTTACGAGAATCCACTACACCGCGAAGAAAATTCAAGAACTGCATTGCGCTTGTGTAACGACCTTACCCGGAAGTTTTAGCGCACGGAAAATTCTTCGCATGACACCGGGCTTGAAATGAAGAATTACAAGTTTGTAATTTCGTACGAATTACAACATTTAATGTGGAAAATAGTTTATACACTTGCAAAAAATAAAATTTGTGTACGAATTACGGAAGAATAGAATAGCTGATTACGTTTAACACCTTGCTCATGTCTACGAAATTACGTTTTTTTATTTTTTAAATTACATTATTACGAAAAAAACAATTGATTACAGCTTACGAAAATACCCCTTGCCGTCAGTCATATCACATGATTCGCAACTACGGGTAATCGGTCACACAAACTCATTTAAAAAATCGGTGTGATTGTCAAAGCTAAGGTGATAGAACGGTCCACCAAACTAATTACACAAACAAACAATATGTTATCTGAAATAATTGAAATGTGTGCAATTTTGGCGCGACACGCAAAACTTACCTACATGCTATGAGGACATTTTCAACAATTTGGTCTACCATCATGATGTGAATATATCGTGCACACATGATTTCTAAAATATAAAAGAAAGCGAAAAACGAC